GGGGGGGAGAGGAGGGCAGTTCACATCATCCCTCTCCCTCTATCTCCTGAAGAAAAAGAAGAAAAGGACAATAAGGATGTGGGGACGAGAGGAGTAGTTGTAGTAGTAGTAGCAGGCGCAGACCAGGAGGAGGCCATAAGGGCAGGAGAGATAGGAGCACTGGGAGATGATGTTTGTTCCAGGTTGCACTGAACTGGAACGGACAAGTTCTCCAGTAACTGAACAGCAGGTCCAGCCGGTGGGCCAAATGTAGACCATATGGGAAAAATGCAGTACTTTCGCACCAAATAGAAAACTGCAGCTGAGCATTTTAAAATTAAGAAAGCTACTATTGCTGTCTAAGTTGTGGTCATGCTAAATTTACCGAGCCAAGAACATCATTAAACAAGTTTCATTTTCACACTTTTCTAAACATTCCTTCCCCCCCCCTTCCCCACCACCCCACTCCCCCCCCAGAATAGAAAGAAGACACGTGTGATTGACGTCCATAACCGTCTGGTGAATGAAAAAAAAGAGGACGATGCAATCTACTCAATTCCACTTGTTATATGCAGTCTGTCTCGGGTCCCACCCAAAAGCATCCCAACCATAAAAGCCTGTACTTCAACAATCGCCTTTCTGGGCAACCAATAGAGGAAAGATCAGAGTCGTTAAAAATTCTTGGCGGCTTTGTTGCAGCGCAACGAATCCTTTTGGAGTGGTTTTGATCTGGATGCTACAACATTCTTGATCTTAACCTTTTTTTTTTTTTTTTTTTTTTTTTTTTTTTTTTTTTTTTTTTAATCTTAGCTTTGTTTGCCGCTTTTCTATTCTTGTAACACTATCGGGCACCAGTAGCTGCCTGAAAAAGAAGAAAAAAAAAAAGCTGCCTATATGGGGGAGTTCAGCAGAGTTCAGTAAGTGATCAGCTTCGTCCGCAGCAGGTTGCAAGTTCGATTCCTTGTCGACGGATTCACAGATTGAGTTCAGATTGCAGATACAGGGCATCGCCACACCACTCTCGAAATGTGCAAAATGAAGATGAACTTCCCCCTACAAGTTGGCCAGATGCATGCCCCACGGTTTTGTCTTTTTCACATTTCAAGAGTGGTGTGGCGAAGCCCACACTCAGCTTCGATTGTTAGGATCACCTCAAAGTCATGGGCAAAAGAGAAAACAAAAGACAAAAAAAGAAAAAATGTTATGATCCTAGCCAATTTTATAAGTACACATTCACGAGAAAGTACAATGCCGTCCAATTGCAAATAGAAATGAATGAACTTGAGAGGAGACAGAGAGAGGGAAAGAAGAAGAAGAAGATGATGAAAGAAAGAAGAAGAAGAAGAAGATGCACAGTGTACACCAGCAAAGACCAATGAGAATTCGCTTCTTCTTTGCCAACCACTCTCCTCCTCCTTATCTCCTTCCCTCTTATTCAAACAAGAAATAATAATAGTAATGTTGAATGGCTGAGCCAGAATCAATGTCCGAATCCCTCTTCTACTGCAGGTTGATCACATGAGGTCCACCATAGCCATGACCACCCTTCTTCCTCCTTCCTCCAAGGCCGAGGCTATGGCGGACTACCAGGGCAGTGCCCTGCTGTGGAAAGGACAACACAAAACAGCTATGACTGCTCCAGCTCTACCCCACTGGGGCCTTCCCGCTGCAGCGCCCACCAAGGTGATGAAGATGGCAACCACCATAGCTAGGTAAGTACCTCTGGCGCTCCTTCTTCCTAGTCCTTGTCTTCCTCCTCTCGCTGTCCTTGCTCCTTCCCCAGCAGCGCTGCTCTGATGCTAGCGCTCCAGCCAGTGTGTCGCCAAACTTGCACACCGACAATAAGGAGGAGCACTCCTTAGAGCCTCCTGGAGATATAGCGGCCTGCTTGCCTCTTGGCGAGTGACTGCCTAGGCTGCGCAGCCTCCAAGCAACCGGTACCTCCTCCCATTCGGAGGGATACATCATTGCAGACTCGGGTATTGTCCGTACAGGCCCTAGACTCAGACTGGCTGGACTGGTACCCGCCTAGACCTAGCCTATAACTACTGGGCCTCTAAAAATGCCAACTTTTGTCTTCTTCTGATCGGCCTTGAGTACCCGCCACATCTACCTCTTCCTGGTGTGATACCGGCCTACCTGCTACTTGAGTGTTTTTCCACTGCTCCAAGTGTCGCAGACCACTTCCCCCCCCCCCACTTGAGTGTTTTCCCCGCTGCAACCCTCAATGTCACGGCCGCAGGTAAGTACCAGCCCTTTGGGCCTTCTGCACGGACAAGTACCCTTTGCGGGTCACACACACACTCAAACCGGCAAGCACTCAGACATGCACGCAGACCAGCAAGGACGCACACACTCAGACTTAGAAAAAAACTCAGCAACAAGCGGGAAACTCGGCAAGGCATACATTCCATTGGCAAAACTCAGAAATCAGCTGTGTGTCTCAGTCCGCATTTGGCAGGTCCTAACAAAAGGGAAACAAAAAGCATAAGTAGGTTGCATGCACTTTGAATTGAACCAGAGTGATCAAATACTGCAAATCTAAATGATAGGAATGGAACAGGATCGTCCTTCGGGACATCCGTTAAAATTGGAACGATACAGAGAAGGGTAATTAGCAAATGGCCCCTGCGCAAGGATGACACGCATAAACCGAGAAATGGTCCAAATTAAAAAAAACAAAAAAAAGGGATGGAACAGGATTGGAAGCAGGGGAGGGGAGGGGGGGGGAGAGCAAGGAAGTGAACAGGATTGTACTTGCTTGATGGGTGACAATGGTAGTACACAGATCTACCTTCTTTCCCCGAATACAACGTACGGTCATTATATAGCTGTATCTAGACTGAAAGATGCCTCAAATACAGCTATAATGACCGTAACGTTATATTCGGGGGAAGAAGGTAGCTCAGACTAACTGTTGATAAACAGATCATGAGTGCAAAATTGCAAATCCAGCTGATCCAATAAAACACCAGGTGCTAACCCCCTTGTTATAAATAGAAAGGTAGTGAAGAGGATTCGAGTTGGGTAAACAAACAGATGGATGGAATGGCTGAAGTGACACACCTTGGGGAGGGGCGTCATCCGGGGTGAAGAAAGAGGTTGATCTACATTTGGTGGCTTGTCATCAATATCCTGAAGGCGACCAGCATGCACCGGAATGAAACAGAAACAAATGATTCCAAGTTAGGCAGATTTTTTGGTGGTCTTAACTTTCAAAAACTGTCAAGTGTTCGTCCTCAAAGTGTGAAGGGAACCACCACGAAACAGTTGTCGGCTAGGTGGACGGTGTGTGCCGCACATATGAATTCCGAATGCCGTGTGTGACTGGTTGTGTATTTGCAATTTTGCAGTGTATATGATATAATATATTCCAAGTAGTTCGATTTTCAACACGTCCTCATCATCAAGTATACCTCGAGTTCGGACCAGCCTGAGTAACCACTGTAGGTGGTGTAATCAGCAGACACGGCATAGAAACGACCTTCAGGGACAGGGTACACACAAAGAGGCATCGAGCGAGGGTTCAGGGTTTTAGCATCAAACCAAGGCTGAATATCCGGTCCCACCGGGGCCCCCTTCCCCCACCGGAACCGGGCCAGTGGTACCGGCTGGAGAGCACTGGTTCCCCCCTGGTTGCAATTTGCGCAATTCGCTGGGGGGGGTTCTACAATTTGTTTTGGGGCCGTGAGGCCTCCATGCGGGTCGTGGAGGCCATGGAGGCCTCCCGGCCTGAAAAAAATCAACCGGGTCCGGTAGGCCCGCCAGATTATTGAGAAACTGGCGGCCTATCTCAGCCGTCGATCTGGTGAGATCTGCGGCCCAGATAGGCCGCCCGTTTTTGAACATTCGGGCGGGAAACCACCCGAAGTTCTGGGCGGCGATCCAAACCTTCCCCAGGCACAGCCCCCACCCTGTCTCTTATACACATCTAGATGTGTATAGGGGGGGAGAGGAGGGCAGTTCACATCATCCCTCTCCCTCTATCTCCTGAAGAAAAAGAAGAAAAGGACAATAAGGATGTGGGGACGAGAGGAGTAGTTGTAGTAGTAGTAGCAGGCGCAGACCAGGAGGAGGCCATAAGGGCAGGAGAGATAGGAGCACTGGGAGATGATGTTTGTTCCAGGTTGCACTGAACTGGAACGGACAAGTTCTCCAGTAACTGAACAGCAGGTCCAGCCGGTGGGCCAAATGTAGACCATATGGGAAAAATGCAGTACTTTCGCACCAAATAGAAAACTGCAGCTGAGCATTTTAAAATTAAGAAAGCTACTATTGCTGTCTAAGTTGTGGTCATGCTAAATTTACCGAGCCAAGAACATCATTAAACAAGTTTCATTTTCACACTTTTCTAAACATTCCTTCCCCCCCCCTTCCCCACCACCCCACTCCCCCCCCAGAATAGAAAGAAGACACGTGTGATTGACGTCCATAACCGTCTGGTGAATGAAAAAAAAGAGGACGATGCAATCTACTCAATTCCACTTGTTATATGCAGTCTGTCTCGGGTCCCACCCAAAAGCATCCCAACCATAAAAGCCTGTACTTCAACAATCGCCTTTCTGGGCAACCAATAGAGGAAAGATCAGAGTCGTTAAAAATTCTTGGCGGCTTTGTTGCAGCGCAACGAATCCTTTTGGAGTGGTTTTGATCTGGATGCTACAACATTCTTGATCTTAACCTTTTTTTTTTTTTTTTTTTTTTTTTTTTTTTTTTTTTTTTTTTAATCTT